TACAAATCAAAAAAATTTTTTAATATAATCATGAAAATTTGAATAGAACATTTTTTCGCTGGCTTTTGCACCAAGAGCTCCTAATAAGTTATCATTATAGGATAGCAACGTGATTATATAACTTATAAAAACTACTTTACTACGTTAGAATTTAGAAGCAAGCTCCTCAACAAAAAACAGTGTTAAGCAGAAACGACATTCAATTTCTTCAGAAGCTTGAGAGGGAAATCCCTCAAGATATGTTGTAAATTTTTAACGCAACATTGACTGAAGAGTCTAATATCGAAAATGTCCAAGAGCCTGTACTTTTTTCATTATGGAGGAAGTACGTATTAAAAGACCACTTGGTTAAGTCAAACTTAGGAACTGAAGCTAGTATTAATAATGAATGCATCTTAGATATCGAAATTGAAATGAGTCCTCATGCTGATCCTCTCTTAGTTGAAAAAAGAAATGATTCTATAAGTAAAACCAGTACTTCTAAAGATCCTCTAGATATAAGTCAACAAGAGATGGATTTTCCTCAAACTTTCCGACACATTTCCCGCGTCTATTTTCAAGAAAGGCATTCTAGAAATGTTGCTGAAAAATCAGAAGAAGTTTGGAAGAACCATTTACAGTGGCCAAATATTGATGATAAAAAGAAAGATCAAATAAGAAGAAAAACGAATAAATTACTTTTTGCACTAACTTCAGAGAAATGGCAAAAATTTCAAGAGGCTGAAAGATCTAAAAAAAAGTTAAAACAAGAGAATATGGAGAAGAAAAAGAAAGAAAAGATACTTAAAAAAGAAAAAAAGCTTCAAGAAATAAGAGGAAAAAGAGTAAACAAAAAGGTGATAAAATAATAATGATAATAAACAGCATCGGATGACACAATGATTTAGATTTGACTGTCAAATTACAAGAATGATTTTTTTAATATTTATTTTGTATTTAACATCACTTTAATTTCTAGTTCATGATTACAGAAAAAAATTAGCATTTTACAAGTGCTTGTACGTTATAATTTCATAAATAGTCTTGTTTTTATAAATTTGTATGGCTAATAAATTCATTAAAGAGCATTAAAAAATAACCAAAATTAAGTGTTCCTTTACTGGGCAATTTTGTGTTCCTTCACTGGTAAGAGCTGTTCCTTCACTTGGTCTTCTTACTACTTGTTATTTGAACCTCCAAAACTTTAAAACAATAGTATGTAAGTTCTCTAAATTTTTTTTTTACATAATTTGCAATTAGTAACAAATATGTCGCCACTGTCATTTAACTAAAATTGCGAATTTTGTAATTAATATGATTTTTTAAAAGGCAAGTGAAGCTTAAGTGTTCCTTCACTGGTTAGTTTACCCTATATTCTTCTTTCAAGCGTGCTTTATTCAATTTGTAATGAACATCGACGATTTATATCTCTATTTTTCACTTTAAAGGAAGCATTTGATTTTTTATACCAGTCTTGTGCCAATCCAAATGAATTTCTTATGTTACCTTTGTTATTTTTTTATGTAGTTTCATGCATTTTGTAACTCTATTATTAAAGTGTTCAACAATATATGATGTCTTATGATGAGCAAAATAATTTATGATTGTAATATCCCCCTTTTTTTTCTTTTCTATTTTAAACTTATTGCATTACCTTTCTCTGTCACCTGGACAGGATTTCCCTCTTGGCAACGAATATATATATTCTTTGTATTTATGTGTTTGTTTTTGTTCCCAATAAAGAAACTTGCTTCATTCAAAAACAAAAAAAAAATTGTCAAATATAAAAGCAGAATAATTACAGAATAATTCGTAATAAAAACAATGTCTCTTGTCATCTTCAACAATGTAAACTGACACTCATAATGATGGATTTTTAATTTCAGGAGCAATTAACAGATAATCATTTTATTCTTAGAAAAGAATGAAAATTTTTTAATTACGAAAAAACTGTCTCAAGTTTTTAAAAACATGTTTATGAATCACTTGAATTCACGTGGGTATTAAATTTTGCCACCAATATGAAACCATGCGTAAAATAAGTTAGAAATCTACTTCAAAAGAGAAAAGTGGTAATTAAGCGTTCATTTTATTCACTGATTTTAATCCATATTAATTGCTGCAAAGTGCAAAACTTTGTAAACAAAATAATAAAGTTTAAGTAGTAAAACTAAGTTTCAATTTCTCACGGATTGTTGGATTTGTAAAATCAAATTATAAATTTAAAGTTAAGCAGTTAAAATATTACTTAAAATGAGTTATATTATTTCTAAACTGAAATATTTATTGACAAATTCTATTATTTGAAACCTGAAAGGTTAATCTAAATATATTAATTGTAATTTGATTTTAAATTTTTATTTAACAAATTTCATTTTCAGATAAATGTTTTGAATTTCGTAATGAATTTCGTAATTCTAATGAATATATTTTCAAAACTTTCGAGAGAAAAAAATTTTGAAGTTTTATTAACTTAATTTTTATTTTAAAACAAATATGTGCAGCGTTTTATAATTGTATACTCTTGTCAAATGTTTAGATTATTCCTAGTTTGGAAACAAAAATCATTATAATTCAATAATTAAAAAAGATTTAAAAAAATTGATAAAAAGTGGAATAATCCAAATTTCCAAACTGATTATTAAATTTTTAACTGTAACAAAGAAAACAATAGATCATTTTTAGCTTCGAAAAAAAAAGTATAAGTTGCATGCTTCAATGTTTAATTTCTAAATCCTTTGTGAAAAATTTACTTTGTGTTAAAATACAGTAATGTTACAGATTCAAAATATTCATTTCATATTAACGGAAAAGTAACAAGAATTGATGAGAAACAGTGGAAAAATAGTTGTCTGAGTCAGCTGTTCCCAAATGATGTTCCACGGAACAGCATTCATCACGGGTTCTGTGCAAAGGTGTTCTAAAATCTTTAATTGCATTTAAATCCAATCAACGGGCAGTAATCCATTATTTATATAAGACTTTGATTGACTTGGATGAAATTATTTAAAGTAAAATCCCAATGAAACAGAGTGTCATTTTTTAAATAATCATAATTTTCCAAATAATAATATATTAAATAAATTATGAAAAGACATGCATTTTTAAAAATCGCATTAGAATTTCTCATCACTTTTCAAACCAAAATAAATTATAGCATTTTTTTTAAAATTTTCATTTAAAAACCGTAATACGACTTACTTATTCATTTTCAGCTTATGAATGTATATTATATATATATATATATATACGAATAATAATAATAAAAATAATAATTAACTATTAAAATAACTATTTTTGACAGTCTTAAGAGCAGTAGTGACTGGTGAGTTTTGTTCTAAAAAATAGCGTATAATTCTTTTACTAAGTGCGCTGAGCTTTGACAACCACATATGGGGTATATATTTGCTGTATCATTATCGATTTAATATTCAGAATTTCGTATAAACAATGCATCTTAATAAGAAATTATTTTTGTGTACTTCATATATAATAAAGTAAAAAATTTTGTTGTTGCTTTAAAAGTTGTTTTTGAAAAAAAGTTGTTTTCGAGACAGAAAAGCGGTTAGGTAAAATAAAATATTTATTTTAAGACAACCATTTGATCCACTTATCACTTAGTTGCATTCTGTAATAAAACCTGGTTTTAGAAAAAAAAGGTTCAAGAAACTACAACCGTATTATATCTCAGTGCATAAGTCAACTCGTTATAAAATTCGATCCTCTATTTTCAACAACGAGAGGGCAAATTTCTGAAATGTCAGGTGCGTACGTTGATCATTGAAAGAAAAAGCCTAATACGAAAATTTCCATTTTTTTACAGAATCTTTTAAAAAAGCGGTGGTAATTTCAAAATCTATGGAAAACGATTTTTTGTGGGATTCAGCAGATGAGGATGAAGTAGAGTCATTGCCATGTATTATTGCAATGACTCTAACTTTTTAAGCACTCAAAAAATATTTTAAGCATACTTAACAAAATAATATACATAAACAACAACAAACAACGTCCCAATAACAAGCATAATTAACAAAATATAAAATAATTTTCAAGGACTTTACATGATCATGATAAAATAACCAGTTTCTGACAAAAAGAACTCTTTTCTTTATTATATTAACAGCCATGAAAAGAATGAGAGATTTTTCGGGTCGATTAAAGAGGGTGAAAAATAAAGCCTGAAATTGAGAATATCTTGCAAAATGCAGCAGAGTTGCACATGAGTGTGCAAGAATCTTACCGAACTTAGCTGAGTATATGCACATGCGGACCTCTAAGTAGTTTACATAGCATGTAAAATGATTCGCGCTTTTATACGCTACGAACTGACAGTATGCCGAAATGCATTGTGTTTGTATGATTTGTGAAAACGTTAAACAAAACAATTTAAAATGTGCTTTTGCATAATACGTAACGAAAATCGACTTGTATCGTTGTATACTTTAGTCTCGATTGAATATTTTTTGTTTGATTTGGTTGCAAACATCTCACTTAAGCTATTGAGTTATTGGCGGCGTCCAGCGATTGATCCTTTAAAGATGTTAGATACTGTTTATGATAAAGATGATACAGTACTAGCGAATAAACTATTTAGATGAGGAACCAGGTCGTAGTAAACGTCAAGTCATAATCGCAATCAATAATAATAATAATTCATTTTTATAAATAAACATAGCAAAAGAATAAATTATTAATACATTTTCTTATATTATCTATATAATAGCAACGTTGTAATAATTTAAGTAACTTAAAAATTCATAACTAATGCATTATGCAATGGGCACATAAGTAACATACATTAATATTGATGAGTAAAATACAACTCATTAAATATAATCGAAATCTTCGTGTTCTGTTTGAATTTCAAACGATAAAATAAGCGAAGTCGAATGAAAAAAAAACATTAAAAAAATGAAAGTAGTAGTATTTGCTTGAACAAGCAACATTTGCTAATCGATCGAAGGGGAAAAAAAAAAGAAACAATTCACGACAGATGGCGCAGCGTCACTTCACTCATCTGTGAATTAAAAAGAGAAGTAGAATAAATCGTTACCCGGGAAAGTAGATTGTCAACATAATATCTTCTCCTGAAAACATGCTTTTAGCGTATCGGTTCTGCATTCAAGATTTACTCATGTATCTTACAATCTACACCAAATGATTTTGTTCTTTTTATCCTGGTAAGTACCTTGAAAACTTAAGTAAATTTTTATGGCGTCGGGAACAGTGGCAACCTGTTGACTTAAATGTCACATAAAAACAATTTGTGTAAACTGAATTAAAAAAAACTGTTTTTTATCATCATATTTTTTTGAACTAGAATTATTTTTCATCTCGATACTTTCTGAATTTATAAATTTTAATAATGTCGAATCATTACTAATTTCAAACAAGCAATCAATTGAAGTTTATTTCCAAATTCTTTATATATTCTTTTATTTCTTCCTAACATATGGAAGATGTATAAGATTTTCAATAGAATTATACGCTTAAACTTATAAAAAATATATTTTCCTCTTATGTCAAATTGCAGGAAGCTTGATTTGGAAGCCGAATTCTATTTTCATATTTTATTTAATTTAAAAACTGTTGGAGTAAAATAATTTGTTTCTCATAAATGGTCTTGATTATTAAAATAATGTTTAGAAAGACGAAAATAGCTCTTGACTAAACGTTTAACTAATTGAGGATTTCAAAATAAATTTTAACTATTCTTTTTCCAAAAAAAAAAAAAAAAAAAAAAAAAAAAAAAAAAAAAAAAANAAATTAGACAAAGCAACAAGTTTTTAAGAAATCAATTTTTACAGTAAAAGCGTATAAATTTGAAAAAAATATCGGAAGCTATTTGCCATATTTATTATCGAAACCATACAGTGTAATGACTTCTGAACATTTGCTTATAAAATTAGTAATTCATTTAAAATAAGTTATAAACCTAATAAGAGATTTTCTCCTTTTTTACGTACGCGCATTTTTACGAACTATTATCATTATTAATTTAACTAAAAGCTTTGACATTTAAAACAACTTGTGTCATTATAATATAACAAAAACATTAAACATTTACGTAACATTCTTATTGGCTGAACATTTTACATAACTAGACTGCATTTAAAAATAGGCATATTTACGTTATAAATATAACTTAATAAATTGAACATATAAACTTTAAAAATCAACTCGTTTTATAAGTTAATTTATGTTTTGATTTTGATAAACTATTTCTTTAGATATTGACATTTTTTTTAAATAGAACGTTGTAATTAAAAATATGTTACATAATTTTATTCATTCACTGTAAAAAAGGGTTCCTCACTATTGAGCAAAAATGTGTCAAAATATTCTAAGATAATAGTCAAATTTGAAAACTCCATGTATTTAAAATTAAAACAACAATTATACATTTTTGAGTAAAATGTAAGTAGAGGAAGATATGTGAAAGTAGAGAGACTTACGTTGGCTAACAGCAGGACTCGAACCCAGAATCTACGGGTTCGTAATTGAATGAGGGGAAAGAAGTTCGATATAGTGGCTGCTACAATGACACATCATGTCATGCGTTCCATTCGCTTCAAAGTTTTTAAGATATAGCGAAATAAGCAAAAAGTGAAATTAAAATTACGGATCTTCTGACTAAGCTATTGGGACGATATTTTCCAAATTGCAATCCTTTGTACCATTGACATTGGAATTTAATATGTCATGATGTGTTATTGCTGCGGCCACTATATAAAGCTTCCTAACTCTCCTTTAACCGTTGTCTACAGCTATGGTTCTTAGAGCATCTTACATCGACTTGTCCTGCTGACAGCCTCACTCACTACACAGACATTTCTCTCAAAAATGAGTATATGCTGCTTAATTTTGAATATATGAGATTTTCAAATTCGACTATTTTTTGTTTCGGAACTAATTTGACACATTTATTCGCAATATTGCGAGATCCTTTTTTACAGTGAGTAAGTTTTCTTAGTGATTTTTTCAATCGAAATGCTTTTTTAAGTATATATTGGATTAATACTCAATAATAATCAAATTTAAAATATTTGCTTTTCGATAAATATATATTTTTTATACAAAATCCACCTGTCTCATTATAGTATTGTAATATAGTATATTAGATACTTTCAACTTACAGAAAATTCAGAATTCATATTTAACTAAAATATCATATTTATTTAGAATTTTATATTATTATTTCAAATTTAATTGAAATATTATATTTATTTATAATGTACTTTTATTTCATAAAATTTATCGTTAAATGCATATTAACTTCAAATATATTGTTAAAATTATAATAACAAAAATAAAAAAAATTATTTTCTGCACGAATACATTTTGCATTTCTAAATACTTTATAAATAATTTTTTTTTATATCATTTCACTTTGAGTACCAGAGATAATTATTTTACAAGGAATTAAAATTAATTATTGTACTAATTAATATTGCGTGATATATTTGAATTCCTTGCATTGTATTAGTTTTGCTTTTTAAAAATGCATCTTTTTTCAGAATTACTATGTGCCTTATCTTTTTACTATTAATATTTTTAAAATACATTTGAATTAATTAATTTAACAATCGTTCATTCCTTTAATTATTCTAACAAGTAGAATCTTTATTACAGTTTATTCTATGATACATGTATGCCGAAATGCATTGTGTTTGTATGATTTGTGAAAACGTTAAACAAAACAATTTAAAATGTGCTTTTGCATAATACGTAACGAAAATCGACTTGTATCGTTGTATACTTTAGTCTCGATTGAATATTTTTTGTTTGATTTGGTTGCAAACATCTCACTTAAGCTATTGAGTTATTGGCGGCGTCCAGCGATTGATCCTTTAAAGATGTTAGATACTGTTTATGATAAAGATGATACAGTACTAGCGAATAAACTATTTAGATGAGGAACCAGGTCGTAGTAAACGTCAAGTCATAATCGCAATCAATAATAATAATAATTCATTTTTATAAATAAACATAGCAAAAGAATAAATTATTAATACATTTTCTTATATTATCTATATAATAGCAACGTTGTAATAATTTAAGTAACTTAAAAATTCATAACTAATGCATTATGCAATGGGCACATAAGTAACATACATTAATATTGATGAGTAAAATACAACTCATTAAATATAATCGAAATCTTCGTGTTCTGTTTGAATTTCAAACGATAAAATAAGCGAAGTCGAATGAAAAAAAAACATTAAAAAAATGAAAGTAGTAGTATTTGCTTGAACAAGCAACATTTGCTAATCGATCGAAGGGGAAAAAAAAAAGAAACAATTCACGACAGATGGCGCAGCGTCACTTCACTCATCTGTGAATTAAAAAGAGAAGTAGAATAAATCGTTACCCGGGAAAGTAGATTGTCAACATAATATCTTCTCCTGAAAACATGCTTTTAGCGTATCGGTTCTGCATTCAAGATTTACTCATGTATCTTACAATCTACACCAAATGATTTTGTTCTTTTTATCCTGGTANAGAAATTTTCCCGCCATTTTTTTAAAAAATATTTTTTTTCCTCATAAGATTTTAGGATTTTTCTTTCTTTTTTGAAGGATGTTTACCTTACCATCACTTTGGAAATAATCATTAGTGTATTACTTCATCGTTTTTTCCTCTTTTTAAGATTATTATCATAATTTTTTTTTTTTTTAGTTGGGTTTAACAATAAAAAAAACGGCTTTTCGTAGTGATTCAGAAAACCGGAAAAATCAGTTATCCGGAATAGCGATGGTCCCGATCGTTCCGGATAATCGGTTCCCTACTGTATGTACTTTCAATTATAACTTAATGCTGAAATAAATGCATTTTTTTATTATTTTATCTTATCAATTTATTAAAAATTAATTATCATTATTTATCAAAATATCATAACAAAGAAACGTTCATGATCGATGGTGTTTTGGCAGATCTGCTTATAATAAGTTAGTTTGTTAAATTAATGGTTTTAAAATTTTTAAATAAAAGCAAAAAAATATTTATTCCAAGTTTTATAATTAAACACTTATCAGTTTTTAAGATATCTTTTGTGACCTAAATACTTTAATTTTGAGGTATTTACTTTTAAAATTTTACATTTTATTTAATTTCCAACATCTCAACAGAGGATTTAAGTTTCCTAACTTGAAACATAGTTTGAAAACTTATTAACATATAGTTTGAATGCTTATTATTAAAATTTTTTAAATAAGTAAAAATATTTTACAAATGTTATTATTTTCATTTGATTTTAAACATTAAAGCTAAAATTAACAGAGGATATTTATGCAGTTATTAACTTAGAATTAAAAGTATTTTAAAATTTAGTTTCAAATATCTATCCTTTATTTCTTTTATTTGTAATATTTGCCATTAAATTAATTATAAAAAAATTATCACCATAAACATTTCACGATTTCACACATTTTCTTTTAAATTTTCAAACCTGAACCCAATTGTTTTTTGCCTGCGCAATCAAAAACAAATTTATCTTCCTTTTAATATGAAATAAGGCATGATTTATGACCGGAAAAAAATTAAATATTTAAGAATAAGGCAGAATTTAAATAGAAGGTCATTATCAAAAGTATAGGATAAATAATTGCTTTCGAATTTCCGTGCGACAAATCATTTCAGTAGTTTTACTTATTGACTTTTTGTTGGGAAGAAGCACAACAAAAACAGATTTTGGTGTTTATATTTTTATTTTATCTACTTGTGCTCTGTAAGGAATCAATATTTCAAGCTGTTTTAAAGTAGTAAAACAGCTTATATTGCCTGAAACTGAAATTTATTAAATAATTTAAATTAATTAACTGAAATTTATTAAATAATTTAAATTAATTAACTGAAACGATGTCTTATATGGTAAATCTCTAAACTGCATTCAAGAATATGTAAAATATTTTAATATATCTCACCCGTTTTAATATTGAAAATAGATCATAAATTTTTAAAATTTGATGAAAACTTATTTTCGGACATATAAAGATTCCTCCATAATATGTTCACATCGAAATTTGCAAAAAATTCTATTTTCCCTATTTTCTGTCCTGTTTATAAAATTCTTTGTGACCCCTTTTCCAAGTATGATCGCTTTAAAAAAAAACAAATAAATTTTTTTTAAAAAAATTGCTTTAGATTTTGGAGTTAAAGCTAATTTTTATTTAAATGATGT